GCCGTAGAGGAAGTGTAACGGTGGCGGTGCCGAATCAGTTCTGTAGCTCTTCGTATCATCAATGTCGAGGCTAAGAGCCGACTGGTCATGAGTTGCGGTTACTACGTGCCATTCGTTATCGTTCAGCTTAACATCCGACGGGTTGGTCCTAAGCTGTTCACCCTGGCTATTGAATACTAACTGGCCATCCACCAACGATAGATAACTAGTAGCCGCACTCTGCTGATCGTTGTTGGTCGCGTAGAAAATCAGACCGTCGCTGGCCAATGTTTTGAACTTGAGATTCACTTGTAGACCGTCGGACGCTAAATTGCGCCATTTCACATAGCCTGGTGTGTTTTTCTCAAACGAGACAAGACTGGCAAACTGAAAAAAATAATTCCAAGAATTAGCGATAAGACGGGAGCGATAAAAGTTGAAGTTTTCGAGCAGGAAATTTTTTTGCATTTATGATTTGCGAACAATTAAATTTCCGCTAATTACCCTGACTGGACAACCAGGCATGACTCCAAACGCCTGTACGTTACGCGTGAGATCCACCGAAGTGTCAAGAATGACGACATCGTCGATGCAGCCTTCAAAGCCATTGCTAGTAACCGACTCGTAAGGATGCTTCGCGTTAGGTGGATATCCACCGAAATAAATATGATCTGATGAGGCCAGAGGCTTGGTGGTTCCTCTTTCTTGACTTGACGCGACTGTGTGATCATCAACTTTGAGCGCGCCCATCGTATCCTGTCTGATAGCCTCCAGAGTGTGCCAGTTGCCGTCATTGTACTTGTCCGAAGACCTCAAATCAATCGTACCCTCGCCAAGATCGTACTGATACAACAACTGGCCGTTTCTCATTTCCAGAGACAAGAACTGTCTGCCCTTGCCCATTAAATAAATCAACCCATCCTCCGCGAAAGTTTTGAAAGATAGTTTGATGATGAACTTTCTGGTGTCTGGCGTAATCTGCGAGCCCTTCTTGCTGAGAATTGCGTAGCCGTGTCGATCGAAACGGTATCCTCTGCTCGGCGCGAAATTAATGAGCTTGTCGCGTTCGAGCGCGCTCTTCTGGTTGTTCTCGCCGTCGACGAAGTTCCAGAAAGACACCGGAATATCGCCTATCATCAATTCCTCCATCTCGCCCTCGAAAGAGGACGCGGTCACAGCGTCCTGAATGCGGAAGGATGATGGATAACCACCGACGAAGAGTTTCGAATGCTCCTGATCCACGTTGAAAATATAATAAGAGCCTGGCAAGACCTTTTCCTTCTCGTACAATGCATCCTTGCCCTCGCCAATATCCTCGCGAACGATTAATTTGACATTCTTGCCAGTCCTACAAGAAAAAGTTCGAGGAATATCGATACAAAATTACTTTTGTCTAAATAATGTCACACGTGTCAATGTCAACCTGTCGATAATTATCTGCCGCCACACATTATCCGATACGAATTTGTTGTGAATTATCCTCTCCGGTCCGGATCCCAGATCGACTATAAGCACGGGATATCCGCTCTCAATCAATAACGCCATAAAGTCGTGCTATGAAATATAAAATTATCGTTAGGAAAATTTTCTTCATATTTCTTTGGTCCACATTAACTCTCTTTCAAAATTACTACATTACATTTTATTGGACTCACCGTCTTAGAGCGTGGTAGCTTTGTCTTCTCCTCATTGCCGAGGTAGAGCAGAAAGCCGTTGGTCTTGTTGGTCCTGAAATATAAGGATATTTTTGTGGATGTAGCTAGCAACGGCAGGCTCTCTGGATTCTTCAGCTCCAAAGTAGTGTTCCTGTAGAAGGTCAAGCCGGTCTTGAATCGATTGGCCAATTCCCGTGCATTCGCGATTTTGTTCCTCAGGGCCTCGATTTTGCTCTGTAGATCGTTCCCAGTTGCATCGATCGATTTCTGATTGTTATTCAGACTGTTTAGCAGATTGGTGATGTTTGGCATCACTTTGTTTACAATATCCAGCTGTTTGTTTGCCTGCGAGATGTCGCGGATTGACTCTGACGTATTCTTCGAGAGTTGCTTTGTCTCCCGCAGGTCTTCCGGGATCTGATTGACAATACCGTTCAAATCGTCGATGGCGATTTTGATGTTACGCTCGACATTCACCGCTTGATTCATGGCTTCATGTGCGACTGAAGATGATTGCGAAGGAATGTTGCCAAGCGTCCTGTAATTTTTACTTATTAAGAACGGATATGTGCTTTAGTATTAAAGGTAACGTGCCTTAACATCCCTGTTGCCTTTAAAAAGTAAATTTGATCGTATAATTATTTTTATATTTAATTGTAGAAAATAAAATGATGATTAAAATATAGAAAGCAAGCTATATACTTGTCAATGGTGTCGAGAAGTTCCTTGTTACGTTTATTTTGGTTGTCGATCAGAGTCGCGTTGTTCCTTGCGTCTCGCAAATCGTTCTCGGGCTGACCTGTCGTTTTCATTAAAGCGATCGCGGAGGCTAACAATTTAGAGCACTCGTTTCGAGAGTCCAACACCCTTTGCTCGAGTCCATCAGTCTGACATTAATAAAAAAAGATAATAATAAAAAACTCAATTCAAGTAAATAGATATGAATCAAGATTACAATATCCAGTTCTTTACCAGCGCTGTTGCGTTCTCAGCAGCGATTACAGCATGATCTGCAGCATCTTTTGCAGTTTGAAGTGCGGTTTCAATATCTCTGTAAGCTGAAACGGCTCTCACCGCATTAGTATTGCGAGTGTCGGTTAATAGACTATCCAATTCCAGCGAACGATTGTATAGGTATGCCGCGTGAGTATGGGCTTTCTGGATTGGCTCAGCCAGGTCGATCAGCATTTCGTCATTCACAGCAATAGTATTGTTCAGTCGATCAGCCACATCGCTAACAGTGTTAGTTTCTAAAGAAAAGAAAATCTATTATTTTTGCGATTATTTTTATCATTATTTTTACAATTTCCAATCAAAGTGTCAAAACATCGAAAGATCACTCACGTAGAAGATCGATATTGCTTCTCGCATGGTTAAGGAAATCGCTAGCGTTATTCTTAAGCTGCTCTCCGGCTTCCAAGTCCTCTTTCGCTTCAGCGGTAGAGTTTTTCACAATGTCCAGATTGCCAGTCTGCGCAGCGATTCTATTTTCTCGATTAAGCTTATCCACCGTGCTGGCAATTTCTTGAGCTACCTGCACGATGTCCAGCAGATCATCCATCTTGGCGCTGGCGTTTTTGATCTTGTTACTGAAATCGGCCGCGGCGGAACTTAAGTTGCTAGCCGGAAAGTTGTAATCTTGCATCTCGGAAATCAGGATATTAGCTTGGTTCGCTTGGTCTAGAGCGTTATCCCGAAATTTAACGAAGGAGACGTCCTTGATTTTCTTCAGAATCCCTTTTGCCTCGTTCAGGGCGTTATCGACCTTGGCGCCCGTTCCCAGTTCAATATTCAGCGCCAGCGATTGCACTTCCGATACAATCTGATTCACTAGGTCAATCTTGCGCACCACGTCTTCCTCCAGAGTATTCATGTCCTGCAACGTGTTCTCCGCGGCGTCCTTCCACTTGACACTGTCCTCGGCAGTGAAATCAATGTTTCGTTTCTGATTGTACACCTCGTGTTCCAACCGCTCCAGCTTCTTCTGCAATGGCAGCAGATTCACCCGACTTGGATCTAGTAATCTAACTTCGGGATAGAGCTCGTTGACCGTGTCGTTGATAAACTTAAGTCGTTGATGCGTAAAATAGCCTTCCGCGACCGTCTGAAAGTGTGTATTAAGAATACATTAAGTTATATTAGTTTTTTAAATAACGTGTATATACATATATATATTCACAAAATTGTCTTTTATTTACACTATACTTGCGTGAGACAGGCTCTAACAAATCCTCTAATTCATCTGTAACATCCAAAAGATTTCCCGTGCAAGAACCGCAGGAGAAGCAGCCTTGCGCCGGGATGAGCACGTGCCGGTACGGACAGTGGTCGCATTTTTCGCCGATCACACCAGGTAAACAGGTGCACTGACCAGTGGTCGTGTTGCAAGACACGCCGACGGAGTAACCAGTGTGACATTCGCACGCTAAAAAAGATGGGTAATTATATGTTTAACTTTTATCATACAATTATTCTAATAATATAGCTAATCTTTAATCCGAGTAGCTTTTACATAATGACTGTTCAACGTAAGAATTATTGATTGATTTAAGAGAGGTACTGATCGGTCTTGTTCATAATAAAATCAATTTTTATTCTACGAATCTTCCGCGATTTACAGACTAACTTTACTCATTTATAAAAGCGAATAATGATTCGAATAATGATTCTAAGAAAGATAGTCTTACATGTGCATCCGCCCGGTCCGTAATCCCAATATCCCTGAATGCACTGGTCGCATCTGCGACCGGTGACACCTGGCATACATTTGCATTGTCCCGTCTCTCCGTCGCACTGGCTGCTCTCCGAGGCCAGGTCGCAGTCGCATGGCCTGCAACCGTTGCAAGTGCCGAAACCATAATGATCGGGCGCGCAGCGATCGCATTGCTCGCCGATTACGTTTTCTTGGCAGAAACATTGACCGTTGTAGCTGTCGCAGTGTTCCATCCCGCAGTCGTCGCATACGCAGCTACGACAGTCTTTCCGGTCGACGGCGTCGCCAAAGTAACCGGGGGCGCACAGATTGCACGCTTCACCGTAGGTATTGTTCAAACATTGCAAACACTGACCGGTGATGCTGTCGCACGAGCCAATCTGATTGGTGTCGATATTGCCGGAGCACTCGCACGGCTTGCAATAATCGCCGTACACCTCGGGATTGCCGTAGTAACCGGCGGCGCAGACTTCGCAACGAGCGCCGTAATATCCGGGCAGGCAGTCGCAGCTGATCTTATTGCCCTCCTCGTTCACCTCGCAACCGGTGGCAAAGTTGTTGGAGGCGACCGGCAACGGGCATGCACAAATTAGACAATCCGTTGGTGTGCCCACAGTGGCATTACCGTAGTAGCCTTGCTCGCAGTACTCGCAGTGGTCGCCAACGGTGCCGTTCTTGCAGTTCTGCGAAGAGAATCAGAATAGTTACAGATTAAAAAAAAAAAACTGTTTGATGGAAAATTTTATACTAGAAAAAATCTGTCCAATTCACCTGACAGATCCCGGTGTTTACATCGCATGTACTCGCATGACCGTTGCATTGACAAGGTGCGCAGTATCCTCCGTATGGTCCCGATTTAATCCTGTAATATCCCGGTGCGCATTCCTCGCATGAGAGTCCTTGATAATTGGGTGGACACTGACACTGTTCCACACTGCTAGCCCGGGCACTGTATTGAGCTGAGTATTGTTCCGTTGTGACGTCCAAAGTCACATATGATAATCTGAAAAGATATTTATTGTAAGGTAATGACAACAATTCCTCGGAATAGAACCGCCGAAGATACGTACATAGCCTGGATGCTAGGATTCCAATACGTAGCACGCACGTATATTGCACGTAGATCTTCGAGAATAACCATAATTTGTTCTCTGGTCGCGCTCAGCCTGTTGCTAGTTACAAAGTTAGCCTCGACGAGACGGACGGACGCCCTAAAGTTCACAGAGGATGGTGGCTGCTCGTCGGAATAATAAAACAACGTAGTGTTGGCGCCTTGAAGGACAACGTCGGCGGCGCTAACAGCCTTGCCGAACGGTCCCGTGGTGTAGAAGACGGTATAATTGAAGTAGCCACCGTAAGAAGTCAACTTCTTATTGAGATAGGCATCGGGCGCCAAAAAGTAGACGACGTTCTCGATAGTGTCGTCAGTGTCGAGGGAGATCGTGAACGTGGTTTCATTGTCTGAAGAGTAGGTTGACACATTGGTAAAGTTGCCGGTCTTATCAACAGGCTTGACATATCCCCAACCGGCCATATTCATAACATGGGTCCAGTAGAGATTCGCGGAGGCACACCTGGTCAATGAGTGTTACATTATTTTTTAAAAATTGGTACGTTGATAGCAATTAATCCCTGTTAATGATAGTAGATCTATATTAACACGATGTAACGCGATGATGACAAATAATGAGAGAGCGTACCTGGTGGTCTTGCCAAAGCAGAAGCACTTGGTACAACCATCCGCATTCTCAGCCTGGATGTCGAAGGTGCCCTCGCGGCATACGTCGCATGCTAGACCTTGCACATTCGCCTTGCAGAAGCACTCGGCTGTATATTGGTCGCAGATATCGTTGGTGGTGCCGCGTGAATCGCAATCACAACGCTCGCAATGCGGAAACTGCGAGTAACCAGCTTGACAGGTGTCACAGTGACGGCCCTTCACGTTCTCCTTGCAACGGCAGCCAATGTCGTCGCACTGTAGATCGCCGTCAAGGACGCCCAGGGGTGAACAGTTGCACTCCTCGCAGCCGACGATCGGGTGGAATCCGTAGGTGCCAGGTTCGCACTGATCGCATCGTTGACCGGTCACTCGGGGCGGACAGATACATCTGCCGGTATCCCGTTCGCAGAGAGCGGGACAATTGCACGGTCTGCATCTGGGAAAGCCGTAGAAGCCAGATTTGCAGCTCTCGCATCGTCTGCCGATGATGTTCGGTCGACAGGGACATTGGCCGCCGAATTTGTCGCATTCGAAGCTGGTGGAGCCCTCGCTGTCGCAATTGCAAGGCAGCGCACCGTTGTTATAATTAGCCGTTAGAGAAAAGCTGGAGTCACGACAAAAGCCGTCCTCGGTGACGTTGATCTGGAAATGATTGCTGCCGCAACGCTTAATAAACTCTTTTGTCTGGTCGAACTGTAATTTATCGAGGATCTTCTCGTTGTACTGATCCGCCGGGATCACCAAGACGTAATCTAACCAGATACCGCGGCCGGGCTCTTTCAGCGTCAGCACGAAATTTTCAATCAGCTGAAACCTGGTATCGTTGTCGTCGATTTGACGTACAACGCTACGACAGCCGCTGTTACTGGGACAGTGGGAAACGGGCACCTTCCCCTCGTAAAACTTGCCGTTTTGCACCAGCACGTCTAGCTCGAATTGAGGGTGATCCGGTTGATAATACTGTATCACGAAGACGTAATCTCCCGGTTGGGACACCTTTGCATGAATATCAACCATGTCGCCATCACCTAGGTAGATTAATTTGGTGGCGTTATCGTAAATTCCGGAAGGATTTTCAGCTTCGGGAATGCCATTAGAAGCCTCGAATTCGATCTTCTTGGCGTCGGAGGCACCGGGAAACAATCCTTGTACGCATTTGCCGTTTTTCCTCACGCAGATAGATTTAGGCTTCACGTAGTCCAGCGACCACTGATGATAGGGAATTGCCACTACAGAGTCGATCGCGACGTTTGAGGTCGGTTCACCAGTCAGCACCAAACTAACGTAGTTTGATGGGAAATTCATGACGGCCACCTTGCCGTAGGTATCGGTGACAACCTGTCGACATGTGCTGGTATATCTACAGGGATTCAGAGTGACTTTGCCCTTGCCGACGGTATTCGCCTCGATTAGCAGCACCGACGTGTCTCGCTCATCCCGCGGAGTGACATAAGTCACCACGAGAACGTGAGGACCAGGTTTGCTGATTCTTAATTCAAAATGAATTTGTTCTTGCTGCTTGTTGATGAGCGGCACCTCATCCTCGCCGATCTCTTGTAAAGTCTCGCGATCGGTGAAATACTCAGTCAACGGGATCCGTACATTGTTCTCGCTCAGAAAGCCGCCGGCGCCGTGGACTAAGTCAAATCGTGTTAAGTTCGGATATCCGTAGTGCCTGCAGAGTCTCTTGTAACCGACTTCGCAGGGTATGTTTACGTCCTGCGTCAATATGCCGCCCTCGTAGTATTCCGATGGTAATAGAACGAAGTAATCAAGGAACATACTCTTCTTCGTGGCAATCTTGATAGACCAATGTCCGGGGTTCATCACCATGGGTGATGGATGGTTACCATGTGCTCCGGCAACCGTTACAAAGGACGGTCGACTGGTTGGCTTAAAGTTAACTTTAAACTGTTGCTCTACCTCAGATGGACTGTCAGGTGTGATAGTGATAGTGCCGAGGATCGGCTCACTACTGGGATTCACGTAACGCAAGACCATCCGATAGAGCGAAGACTTGCCGATGTTTACGCCCAGTACAATTTCGTCTTGCTGAGTAGTAAACTCAGCGTACCCTTTCCAACTGAAGCCCGGAAAGATATCTTCCGCGAAGCCGTAACGGACGCCGCTACCACTGGGAGTTTTGCCAACCTCGGCCTCGTATTGATATTGATGAAGAGTTGGGAAGTAATGCGCTTTCAAAGGCTCCTTACACGTAAGACCGGTCACCCGTGGTTGGCAAGGACACTGGCCAGTTTGCTTGTCGCATACCGGATTCACGGAACCGCCAACGTCGCAAGCGCAATCTTAATGAAAAAAATGCGTCACGTTAAAGATTAAATATTATGAAACGGAGGAATCAATTGACCTACCAGAACAACCGAAGAGATTGTTTTCCTGAAGATTGTACGTTCCGTCAATGCATCGGCTGCATCCTCTGTCAGTTACGCTGGGTTTGCAGATACACTGTCCAGTTTTAGTGTCACACTCGCCAATGCTGCCGATGACTCCAGGAATGTTACACTGACATTCTTAAATGCAAATATGCTTCGTAAAAAATCACGTGTCATATATAATTATATATTTTGAACTTATATCACATCCGAACCTTCGCAACCATCTGGATTGTAAGGCTGCAGATTCCAATAAAGTGGCTTGCACTGGTTGCATATCCTTCCTTCGACTCGGTCCTTGCACTGACAGAGTTCGCCAGGCGGCAAGGAGCCACAACCTTGGAATGTCGCAACTATGCCAGCCGGATCACAGTTGCAACCCTCGCAGGTAGGAAAGTTGTAGTAGCCCTCTTTGCATTGCTCGCATCGAATACCGTCGAAGTTCTCGCGGCATTGACATTTACCTTCGCCATCGCAGGATACGCCGATGGAGCCATGACTATCGCAATTGCATGCTAATGTCGAAATATTAAAAAATATTTAACCGACAAAATATAACTGATTAATTTAATTTTAATAAGAAAAACTAAAATGTGTCCAGATTATATTAGAATATTTAAAGATAATAAAATATATTGTACGAAAATTTGTCTGAGACATCGTATAACGAGAATTTCGCGAGTAGTATTACATACCAATGCATTCCGGGTATTTGTAGTATCCTGGACTGCATTGACTGCAAGTTCTTCCGGCGAAATTGGCGAGGCACGAGCACTTGCCCGCGGAATCGCAACTGATGCTGGATGAGCCGACGGAGCTACAGTTGCACGGTACACAGTTGGGATAGCCGTAATATCCCGGGATACACTGGTCGCATCTAACGCCGCCGTATCCTTCCTTGCACAAACAAACGCCATCCGACTTGTCGCAAATACCGGGTTCTGTTCCGCGAGCATCACAATTGCAATCTGCAAATTGCATAAAGAAACCATGTCTAAGATTTATGTCATAAATGTAGAAACGGAATTTACAGATCCTATCCTATAGTATTGCAGTCAAACAATTTTAAATTTTATAATAATCTTATTTATGCAAAAAATTATTATATATCTAAAAATATTTTCTTATCAAAAGAAAAATTAAATTGCTATAAAATAAAGAAGATAAGAGAAAAGATAATCACAAGAAAAAAATGATCGTCGGCAATTTACTGAGTGCCAAATCTTTATATTATTGTCAACATATAAATTCAATATTCTGCTATATTAGCGGTTTTTAAATATATGTTGAAAATAAATGTGACGTACATGTGCAATGAGGATAGTTGAAGTACCCGTCCTCGCAAATGTTACACGTTCTGCCTCCGTAATTGTTTTTGCACGTGCAGTTACCGGACACCACGTCGCAGACATCGTTTAGGGCGCCCAGAGGATTGCAACTGCAAGCTGAAATCGCATAATGACCGACGTTACTTTCCAAATAACTTTGTCCTATATAAAGACCTTGAAATAACTTTCAAGAGATTCACTCACGTAAGCAGTCGGGGAAATTGTAATATCCCTCCGCGCAGAGATTGCAATAGTGGCCGGCGTAGTTTATCTTACAGGGGCAATAGCCCTCGGTTGCTTCGCAATGATAACCGTCCGTGCCGCGCAAATCACATTCGCAGGGCAAACAATTAGGATAGCCAAAGAATCCGTAATTGCAAGTATCACAGTTCGGCGGTGTAAACTCCTTTCGGCACTCGCATTTTCCAGTGGAATCGGCGCAGTTTCCGGTCGAGTAAAAGTAATCGCAGTTGCAGGCTAATTAAATATATAAAAAGTACAACTTGTGAAATTTATAACGACTTAAAAAATACCGAGTTTATATCCTAAATGAACTTACGTTGACATACGTCGGTTGCGTTGAGTGGCTTATCCCGAGGCCTGTAGAACTTGGGCTTGCAACGGTTACAATTGATGCCTTCAGTGTTGTGTCTACAATTCTGACAAATACCACCGCCCTCGTAATTACCGTGGATGTCCAGTGATAAGTGCTTCTCATCAGTGTCCGCACTGTAAATGCACTCGTCCGAATGTCCGAAGCAGTTGCAGGCTGTAAATATTAATTCGCTGCTAAAGAAAGACAGTGTATCTCTGGCAAACCCACCTTGTACCCATAAAATCATCACTGTTTTAATTAAGGTATAAAAATTAATTTATGTTATTTTAAGTAATTTGCCAATTCAAGAAAATAATTTTCAGCAAATAAAATTAGTATTCTTAGCAGATCTATTTGTTATTCGTGTAATAACTGATAGAATTTATTGCTGGCAAATTTTTCTCTTCAAATACTGAGAAAGTAAATTGTTTTTACGTTCGCATATGAATTTCTTCGACGCCGTGGACTGTCTCCATTTTTTCTGTTCGAAACCCTTGCAACATGTTGCGCACTGAGGTCCGCAGGTGTTGTGCTGGCACCGGCAGACCAATTTCTTCGGCATATTGGGGTCCTGAATGTCGCAGATGTCCGCGTGACCGTTGCACATGCAACGACCGCCGATGCTAATATCTTTGATCGAGTAAAAGTACTGCAATACAAACAAAAACTTCTTTAGCAACCAAATTATAAAAAAAAAATTATAAAAATATCGGATAACGGAGGAATATCGTTTACAAAACGGATTCTAAGATGCTTACCGAAGTTTCTTTTGCACCGCTAAGTAAAAAAATTGTGCAAATTAGAAATTTGCACTTGGCTTCCTCATAGAGGAAGCTTTAACTTCCGCAAATTTGGAGATATCGATCTATTTTTAATTTTATTATATTTTTCAGTCTTTTCTACCCCTATTTCATATATAATTCTTTTAAATTCGGTTGATTAGACTTACAATTAGCTTTATACGCGATCAAAATCTCCGAAATTTCAAACGTCTGTAACTCCAGAACTAATTAACCAAATCTTAATTAATTATATATGAAATAGGGGTAGAAAAAACTGAAAAATTTAATAGAATTAGATATAGATCGCTATCTCAAATATTGAGAAAGCTATAGGATAAAACACACTTTTCTAAAAAAAAAAAATTTTAATAAAATCTATACCGGTCAACCGATTTTAATAAAATTTGAGGAGAACATACTTTCTATGATACTCTATTTGTGTAAAAAATTTCAACCCGGTATCTAAAAAATTGTAGAAGTAGATGCGTGTACAAAAAATCCGTACATACACACACACACACACACACACACATACATACATACTTCCGGACATTTTTTACTAATACGATTTTTCGACATTTTAGAACATTCTAAACCTATTTCCATCAAAATCTCGAAAAAATTTTTTTTTACCATCACAAAGCTTCCTCTATGAGGAAGCAATTTGTTTCAACGACAAGCATGGATATAAATGACTTATTACAGAGAGTCAAATATCGCCGAGAAATCGAGAGCAACGTTTTAACGTCACTTACTCTCCTGGTGACTGTGGGATCTTGACGAACGACGGACATCAGGTGCCCCAGCAAGTTCTTCGTCCGGAGAAAACGGAAACGAACGTTCGTCGCCCGCGTCCATTCTTGCAACAAAGTCGAATTGAAATAGTGCTTCGCCGAGGGTCGGTTATTCAGGATTGAGATCGGGATCTCGCCGCCCTCGAGTGGGACGACCTTTGAATATTCGGTCGTGCAGATCACGCTGTCGTCTCGAATAATCGGCTTGTGGCTGTCCACCCCGAAGTAAGTTAGACAATCGCTGGCAGAATCCGAGAAATATTGCCAGGGTGACCAGGTTTTGCCGTAATCCTTCGACTTCTCCAGGATCCAGAGTCCTGGCCGAGGCGAATTTCCCATTCGCACGTAAACGTAAGCCACATGAAATTCCTAAAACAAAACCCGTGTATTTTTATCAAAATTCTTCATTCTATTTTTTTATCTTTATTCTTTTCTTATAAGCAATAGGATAAGCATTATTTCTCTTTGATTTTCCCAAAACCTTCTTGCCATAATAATTATTATATTATTTTACAGAAAAATTTATCATTCAACAAGCTTTGCCTGTTAAAATTTATAGTTTTCAGTCATTTAATTTCGTGCGAGTGCGTTCCTGTCATTTCAAACAAAGTAATGTGAACCAAGGGTAAAAACCGAGGACTGAATGCCAGATGTGTGCCATACATGGTTTCGGTGCTCTAAGAAAGACCATCAAAATCTCAAGTATATGGGCTAACTGAGAGAAAAAGTGAGATAGCGAGATAAAGAGATAAAAAGAGAGGTTTATTCTTTTCTGGGACAATAGATTTAAGAAATTGGAGAGTATAATAAATCTAAAAAATAAAGGATGTGCCTAAGCTAATGAGAGGAAAAAAGAGATAAAGCATTTAAAAAATTACCCATGCAAATAAATTATTAAAGAAAAAGAATAGGAGAGGGAGGGGAGAGAGGGAGGGGGAGGGGGGAGAGAGGGAGGGAG